GGGGGGGGGGGGAACCCCAGGACAGAAGCCCAGGCTGGCACAGGACGCTGCCCGGGCGGGACTCACCGTTGGTGCTCGTGTTGACATAGTAGCGCCGGCCCTGGGGAGACAAGTAGCTCTGCCAGCCAGGTGGCAGCACCACACTCTGGCTTTCCTCTCCGGGCGGAGGGGGCACCATTCCAGGCTTCTGTTGAGGAGAGAAAAGGTCACACACGTTTGGCATTTTTGTAGCTCTTTTTCAACCAGGAAGTCAGAGGCAGCTGAAGCCACCCTGGGACTGCCCACCGTCGGCGGTGCGGACCAGAGCCTCCCTGAGGGGGGCCAGAGGCCACACTTGTGTAAGTTTGGAGGTTGTCTGAGCGTAAAGTGTGAGGAGAGCCTGCTTTTTCAGAACCACTGCAGAAGGGGCATGTTTCCCTCGAGGACAGAGGGAAGTGGCAGCCAGTTAACAGAGCTGGGCAGTCTCCTCTGTTAGTCCTTAGAAAGCCACTTACAGGGATGCTGAGCTTTAGGGGGGTGCACTCAGCACCCCCCCACTGTGGAATCTGCAGCCTGAAATCCCAGGGACCACCAAGCACAGCGGCAGACGAGGCCCAGGGCCAGCCGGAGGAAACTACCAGAAGTAATTAATGCAAGTCTCAGCAGAGCGAGCCATAAAACCTTCTATAATAATGCCCAGAATCGAAGAGCAAGGGTTTTTTTTTCCAAGTGTCCAAGTCACCATGGCAAAGAGAACTGAAAATCTGACGACAGAGATGGCTCTTTCATCACGTGCACTTACATGCAGCTTAATTCTTTTAACTATGTGCACAGACTTTTCATTTTTAAAAAATCAGAGAAAAACAGAACATAGAGAAACTAAGTAGAGACGCAGATGCTAAACAGGTAGTTTCTGGTGGTAGGATTATGGGCAGTTTGTCTTCCCTTCTTTTTACTTAACTCTTCCATCTAAATTTTCTTTAATAAACACAAAAATAAAAGCTGTTAGTTAAAGAACATTTAAATATAAGAAAAGAGGGTCCAAATTAGCTCACAATTTCTGTGCGTTGTGGAGAAAGTAAACCAACTAAAGACAGGATTCTAGCCACAGCAGACAGGAGCCATGATGTTCTCAGCGAGGCCGGGCCCTGTTCAGAAACATTAGAACTAAGCCCCTGAATGTCATCAGCTTCCCCAGCCATGCCTAAGAGGCCGGTTTGGGTCACTGACGACCACGGCTTAAGATAACAGGTGGAGTGTGAGCAGCAGGGACCTGGCTCCCGAACTGCTCTGCTTTCTGCAGACTGACACCCCGTGTGCTTCTGATGCCTGTGGAGCCCGGGTGCCCGCAGCAGGATCGGATCAACCCGAGCTGCTCCGGGCACTTCCAGTACACACAGCCTCCCTGCGGCCCTCGGTGTATGTTTCATTATGGAGTTTCACGACTTAATTAAAACCCTTCCCCTATGCCCTGAACGCTTCTGTCTCCCACACCCGTTAACCTGCAGTGCCTCTTTGATTCCGTATGAAAGAGCTGGAAATCTGAGACAACACATTAAATATCCCACATTGTAGGAAATACACATTTTGGCCGAGTAGGGTGGGGAGTCAAGTCAGGGGGTTTGACTGAAGAAGGAAACAGCCTGGAACCAGGCTGCCTCCGCCTGAGTCACAGCATCTAAGATGGGAAGGCCCGACCAGTGCTTGGGGAATAACCTGGGAAGAAACGGGACATTGTGAAAGGCATTAAGCAAGGGCCAGAGACTGACGTGGCCAGAACGAGGTTGCAGAGGAGAGAGGGACCCAGCAGCACAGGGAACGCGGCCCTCCAGCCTGGGGCTCAGTCCTCGCTGAGCCGCTTAGCAGCCCATGACCCCGGGGAAAGGACACAGCCCGCCATCTGACCGTGCCGCATCTATAAAACACAGGGTCATTTTGGCCCAGTTGTGGAGCACACTGTAGAGACTAACAGTAAGAAACTCAGCCCCTAGGAAAGCGCCTGTCACCAAGAATGCTCAAGAAATAGGGGTTTCCTGGCCGGGTCAGGGTGGCTCAGTCGGCTGAGCATGGTCCATCCTGTGCACTGAAAGGTTGCAGGTTTGATTCCCAGTCAGGACACATGCCTGGGTTGTGGGCTCAGTCTCCAGTAGGGGGCGTGCAGGAGGCAGCTGATAGATGTTTCCCTCTCACGTGGATGCTTCTCTCTCTCTCCCTCTCTCTTCCTCTCTCTCTAAAGATCAATAAAAAGATTTCAAATAAAGAAACGGGGGATTTTAGTGGAAGGGGGTGCCCTCTAGGTGCTGAGTGAGACCTCTGCCTACGGTGGGGTGAAGTTCACCCAACCTCACCATCACTGCGTCTAAAATGTCACCATTAACAGTCACTTCTCCCTGGTTTCTGTTTCCAAGACGACCTGACTTAAAAGGCAAACGCAAGCCTGCTGGGGAGGTTCCTGCGTTAAGACCTTGACTACTATGTTCTGGTGAGAAGCTGGGCAGCGAGGGGCACTCTCCTTAGCTGGGCCGGCTGAGGGAGTGAACTGAACACTCTGACCCTCCTGTGAGGTAACGACATCCCATCTCCACAACTGCATGGCACTTTTCTCTTTAGCATGACTAGTTAATTTATCTAAATAAGCGGTGGGGTCAGAGAAAGCTCTGGTTTACATCTGAAGACACTGATGACTGGGGAGGTACCATTACCACCCTGAGGGCTCCCCATCTAGGAAACGCAGGACCCACCATCTTGAACACTACAGAAGCTGCCTGGGGAGAGGCACCCCAGATACTGAGCCAGGAAGGGCCAAGGGATCCTAAAAGGGGGAGGAGGGCACCCAGGCCAATTTCCTAATTTGACCAACCTGGGAAAGGTGGTCTCCACATCCCCCTGCAGTACGGCCATGGGGTGCCCGCTCTCCCATGGGTGCACCCTGCCCGCCATCTGACTGTGCTTTGCTTCCACCCCCCAAGGCTGCCAGCCTCCTTGCCCTTCCCCTCTCCCAGAAAGAAGTTATTCCTGTTGGCTGGACTGAAACAAGTCAGGAGTCGAAAGATGTGGAGACAACTGGGTACACACCCAAGAGAAGTGAAAACAGCGCTCAAACACTTGCACTCCCATGTGCTAGCATTATCCACAATAACCAAAAGGTAGAAACAACTCAAGTGCCCATTAACTGATGAGTGGATAAACATAACGTGATGGTGCATCCATACAAAAGAATATTCAGCCATGGAAAGGAATGAAGTAGTGATACACGCTACAATGTGGACAGCCCTGCAATCACGCCACGGGAAATAAGCTAGACATAAAAGGCCAAGCTTTGGAATGATTCCCTTTATATTAAATGTTCAGAACAGGCAAACTCATAGACACAGATAGCAGGCTAGTGGTTGCCAGGGGCGGGGACAGGCCGGTGGGTACAGGGTTTCCTTTTAGGGGTATTGAGAATGTTTGGAACTAGAGAGTGGCGGCGGTTGCACAGAACTGTGAATGTAAGAAGTGTCATTGATGATCAATTTTATGTTAGGTGTATTTTACCACAAAAAGAAAATTTTAGAAAGAAGTAGACGAGGCAGGAGTTGGTCTGCCAACCTGCAGGCTCTCATTTAAGAGGCCCGAACCCCCAGCGTTACCTCACCCCTCGTGGCGGTGGAGGTGCAGGCCCCTGGGAGAGCTGCCCCAGAGCCACCGAGAGGATACAGCATGAGGAACTACCCGACAATTAAGGTCTCTGCCCAACTTATTCTTCTAAGCAGTTTCCTTCCAAGTTAAATCCCCCCTTCCCTTCCTTAGTCCCCTGGCTTCTCCCCTTCCATTCTGTCAGCTCTTTCCCACGGGAACGGGAATGAAAAGCAGGGGACACAGGTCCCCCTATAAGGAGCAAGGCCAGAAGGAGTGGGAGTGGGCAGAGACGAAGATGCTTTTCTCAACCCAGGAATTCTTAACCCAATTCCAAGGACAGCTCTGTGGGAATCAGAAAACGCCGCCTCTTCCCCTGGATGGGCCACCCCAGGGTGCAAGGCTGGGTCTCGGCCTCCCTGGGCCCCTCATCTGGGTCCCCTTGTTCAGTAAACAACCTGCTCGGCTACATATGGAAACCCATCCGCTGAGAATTTGAGTTAAACTGGATCTTCTGTCCCCAAAATGGATGCATGTGTATGCACACACTCACACTATTTTATCAGGAGGCTTCGAGACCACTTCAGAACCCTAGTCTAATAGGTACTTAAGAAATATCTGGTCCGGCCGGTATTGCTCAGTGGTTGAGTGTGGACCCATGCACCAAGAGGGTGCTGTTTTAATTCCCTGCCAGGGTGCATGTGGAGTTGCGGGCTTAATCCCCAATAGGGGGCATGCAGGAGGCAGCTGATCGATGTTTCTCTCTCATTGATGTTTCTCTCTCTCTCCCTTTAAAATCAATAAAAACATTTTTTTTAAAAGAAATGTCTGCACTCAGATCCCATTTCTGCCCATTGATAAAGACTTTGATCACTCACCAAATGGCTATGAGTGTGACCAGAACTGGGTCAGGTGCTTCACACACTTACCTTTAGTCTTTACAATAAGCCTGGCACATAACTGCCATTTTTTCCCATTTTAAAATGGAACTCGGAGAATTTAATAACATGCCTCTTGTTACACAGCTAATTATATGATAAAACCAAACTCTAAAATATTAGCTTTGTTCTAGCTACTTCCATCCAGTTACCTAAATCCAGGCTACTCTCAGTTCATCTCCCCCAAGCTCTCCATAATCAACTCCATTTCTTCAATGGACCAGCAGACACCCTATCTCCCACCCAAGGAGGATGACAACTCAGGCCTGATTCTCCTGCCTGATTCTCGCAGTCTCCAAGTGTGCACATGCCTTCCCAGGAGATGTGCAGAAATATCACCGCCCACATCCAAGCAGTCATGTTCCCCAGCTGTAGGCTGACTTCCTTGTCTCCTCATTTAAAACAACACAGCCAAAGAAACGGTCCTTTTAATGATGGCTACTGATTCCCCTGAGGGGAAAATGAGCAGGCAAGCAAAGAGAAGTCACCCAGAGAGTAAAAGAAAGTCCCATACATCAATGTTTCTCAAAGTGTGGTCCCTGGGCCACCCTGTCACTCACCTGGGATGTGGGTTAAAGTGCAGATTCCAGAGCCCTGATCCAACCACCAAAACAACCTGGAGCCCAGAAACAACCTTTAACATACTTCCTAG